AAATTACTTAATTTAGTTGCTTTGTTGTATAAAGAAACAAGTGAACTAACTTAAAATGAAGTAGTGCGATATGGTTACACAAATATCAATTTAATATGAAAATGATTTTCATCCATAATGCGCTGCGATTGATATTTCTGGACACCCTACTATAAACGTCACGCGTTATTCCAAAATCACATGACAATCCTACTCCTCGGACGTGATTATTAGAGAAAGCGCGTTCTTCAATGAGTTTCCTTTCAATGTGAAAATTTTTTTAATTCAATAAAGAAAATAAAGTATGAAACATTCTTTTGATCAAAAAGAAAACTATAAGGAAGATAACGCGATATCTGCTGAGCATGTTGCTAAAAAAAAAAAACAATGTCGTTCCTTTGATTTTGATTTTGATTTTGATGCTACTGAAAATCTCTTGAAAAAATATGAATCGTCGTATTTGCAAATTAATCAAGCTAACTTTACCGAGTCAAATTCAGCTACTCCGCCTTGGCCTCTAGGCTCTCATTCAACGAATCAAAAAAACCAAAGCAAGTTAAATCCTGAAGGATTTCAAGTAAATCATAATGAATTACAAGTGTACGATGAACTTAATAAAAGTATTTCTTATTAAATAATTTTATATTCAACTACATTAAATTATGAATCACTCTAATTAATGATTTGATATTAAGAATTAGAAAGGTCGCATGTCTTGCAAATGAAAAATAATGAGTTTGAAAATATGCGTCTTCCAGATAACGGTAAATATCTTGCTGTTACTTTATCTTCTGGTCGACGGCTTTATTTTCCATTGAACCAAACAGAAAGTCCTATTGAATATGTAAGTATTTAAATATTTGCGTTACCATTACATTTGAACTAACGTTTGCTCTCTCTGAGCACTTTTTTAAAAGGGTACTTCTTCAGTTGTAAACAAAAGATTTTCAAATATATCAATATATAAATTATTGGATAAAATCGAAATCGAAAAGTCAAAAGCTGATAGGTATTTAAGTGTGGTTATTCGATCCGTGTTAATCTCGTTAAATATTCACGTTTTTAATATTAGTTTCAAGAGTCGATCTGAATTGTCAAATCGCCCATTAACACCAGTTAAAACCAAGTTATGGGCGGATAAATATCAACCAAATAATTATTTGAATTTGATGAGCGATGAGGTATTACTTTTTATTTCAATTAATGATTTCGTAAAAAATTTTTGGTCTAAAAAATTTTTATCAGAACGTAAATGCTCGAGTGTTAAAATGGGTGAAACAATGGGATTACTGCGTTTTCAAAAAAAAGTCTGTAACTAAAGATAGGACGAACAATTCGCAGGTATGAATTATTACTAAATTTAGATCATAATTTAATTATTAATTTATAAAGCTTCTGAAAAATTTTAGCACCATGATCAATGGGAAAGACCAATGAAAAAGGTATAATGAGCAATTATAATTAATTCTTTATGTTAGAGTAATTTTCTACCTATAATTCTTACCTTTGAAATAGATTTTGTTATTAACCGGACCTCCTGGATATGGAAAAACTACGTTAGCGCGCGTTGTAGCACGTTCATGTGGATATAATGTCATAGAAGTGAATGGAAGGTGGATCATATAATTTACTTATTCTTTTCTTTATGGATTAAAACAAATGTTCTAATCCGATCATACTTCTTAGCGATGACTTTTTAAGCTATAATGTAAAAGATCAAAACACGAATTCTTTTTCATTAGCCTCCAATAATAAGCCGAATCTAACTATAATTGATGGAATTGATGGAATTCGCGATACCGGGGAGCAGGTTATTATTAATTTATGAATTAATATTAAATAAAATACTTGTATTTAATTTATTAAAGATATATTCTCTTCGATTTAGAATTTAATTAATTCGATTGTAGATTTGGTCGGCTCAGAAAGAAAGGACAAGGACAAAAATAAATGTATTATTTTAAGTTAAATTATTCATTTTACAATATTATCAAAGTTAATAATATATTCATTTATTCATTATTAAAAGGTCATCCTAAAAAATCCGAAAACAAACGACTACTTCGTCCTATAATATTTATCTGTAACGAATTGTACGTGTAGATGAAATGTGTATTGATTCGACATATTTAAATATTCAATATGATATGTGTATTTTGAATTATTAGATATGCACCTTCTCTAAAACCGCTTAAAGCTATGTCTGAAATAGTTCAGTTCAAGAAGCCTGATCAAGTTTCACTTGCAAAGCGATTAAAAGAAATTTGCGATAAGGAGAACTTATCTATTGGTATGCCAATCTTGTTTAAGTTAATTGAAAAATATGAAGGTGATATAAGAAAATGCATAAATTTTTTGCAGGTAAATATATTTATTCATCATAAAACAGTAAGAATTCTTTGATACATAAAGTGATCAATATAAATTTCTAGTTTTCAATATATGAGCCAAAATCAACTTCAACAGAAGAATTATTATCACAAATTGATGGAAAAGAAAGAAAGAAGTCAGTATTTTACATATGGGAAGAAATATTTCATGGGAGGAAAGGTGCAAAAATCAAGAGCAAAGTTATTTTTGACGAGCATGGAAATTTTTATGGTATAATTAATTTATACTTTATTTACTCAAATTCATCGTAAATAAATTACTGTCTAATCATCCGTAATAATTTAGATACAAATTCGCGTCAAAACATCTTACGATTGACTTCGCTTATTCGTTCGAGTGGCGAATACGAAAAGCTTATGCAAGGTAATTAGATGCTAGTGTTTATTAACATTATCGACAAGAATTATTTACATTTTATTTTTAGGATGCTTTGAGAATTACCTTAAATATAAAACCGATAGTCTAAAGTCAAAACTAAGGGCTTGTGACTATCTTAATTTTTATGATCAAATTAATTCAGCGATTAATTCACATCATTTTTATGAGATGCGCGAATGTCTTCCATATCCGATTGCCGCGTTCCATTATCTATTTGTAGGAAGTCCTCAGAATCGTATTAGATTTTCTAACCAGGATTATGAGGTTTGTTATTAAGTTTTATTAACTTTGTGATTTTGGTTTATATTTTATCAAAGTTTTTACATTACTTATAGAATAACGCAAAGAAAAAGTCAACCGAAAATATCATAATGACTGTGTTGAATGCATTACCTCCACAAGTTCGAAGGTTTCATAACAAAGAAGGATCTTATGAATTGATTTCGTGTCTAGTAAAAATGATTTTACCTAATATAAGACCAGTAATTATTCTTTCAAAGTTGTTTTAAAAAAAAAATATTGATAATTCATTAATTAATTAAATCTTTTCAATAAAAAAGATAAATATACGCAACATCAACCATGAAGACAGGCCCAAAATCAAATATGTGGCTGAAATAATGCATTCATTTAATTTGGATTTTATTTTAAATAAAGATGAATCTGGTCAAATCAATTATATTCTTGATCCGTAATTATGATTCCAATTTATTATATATTGTTATATATTATACTAATATCAATAACTAATGCATAATGTAATCTACATCGAATAGGCCGATTGATAAGCTATTGCTTTTATCAAAAGAAAATCCACGTGTGGAGATTCGACGATTATTAGCAACCGAGGTATTATTTCAATTTAGACGACATGAACCATAAATTTTTTATTAAGTGTCATTTCTTCTAATCCTAGCTAATTTTTTTTTGTTAAGCTTAAAGAAGAACACATGTTAAAGCAAAAGTTTGTTGAAGATAGGACGAATTTAGAATTAAAACGGAAAGTGTATGTATTTGTTATTATAAACGAAATATTACCAAAATTTAACCAACGTTTTTATTAAATAAATTACAGGGCATCACGTATAACAAAACCCAAACCATCAAAATCTACAAACCATTTAAATCTACAAACCATTTGAATAAATCAAAGGGCAAAAAATTTTATCATTAGCCCTAAGTTGTTAACGGCCGATCGGGACCGAAGATCAGCGATCTTAAAGATCGGATCCGATCTTAATAGCATTACAAAAAAAAATAAAAAATAATAATAACAAAGCAAAAAAGCTGAATAAAATTATATTTTTATCGAGAATAAATTTTATTATTAGATGATCGATCCAAGTGTTTTTCCAATATTTGAATATTTTTTCATATATTTCTGATGCTTTGTTTTTGTAAATGAGATCCACTTCTATATTTATTTAATTTAGCAAACATTCTAATCTAATATCTCCTTAGGTTTAATTTGATGATGATGAAAGAAGGTTGGTTGCATTGTACACTTATATTCTGCTATAACATTATTTTGTGACTCAGATTTTTCAAAAAAAACTCCCACATCTGATGAAACATTAAACTTTGAAGTTGTTGTACCTTCTTCTATTGCTAAAGATTTGGAATTCATTATCATTTTGGAGAATTTATTTCACATAACATTGCATATATTCAAATATTACGCCAATAAAAAGGGTTGGCTAAAAATAATTAACATTATGACTTGTTCATGTCGTAATTTTATTTATATAAGATTGATTTTAGGATATGGAAAGTTTCGATGATATTATGATTGGTTGAATAAATTTCATGTGATTACCGTAAACAGTTGATAAAGTACCCGGGTATTTACAAATTCGTGAAGTTAGAGGGGTACTATACTACGAGGGGTACTTTGGTCTAAGGGGAAGGAGGATACTACGCTATACCATATAAGGTCTGCGATTTGAAATTAAATTAACCAATAAGAAATTTAAATATTTGCATACATATAGTAGGCCAGTTCATTTCTGATCGTTTGGATTTTTGATCGGTTTTGAGTTGATAATTATTGGCTGATAAAATTGTGTAATCCGATCAGTAACCTGAATTTCCTGAACAAAAAAAAAGTAGATTTTTTGATCGCATTAATTACATGTAAAATACGTGTTTTTTTAGTTTTTTGAAAAAAATTAACTAAATATGAATCATAATGAAAAAACTTCAACTAAACGTACTAAAACTATTAAAACTAATTCTCATGAACCTCAAAAGAAAAGAATAACAATTAAAACACGTTCAACTACAACTCCGCAAGTATACATGAAGTCAAAATGAAAACCCAAAAGTCGAAATGTTTTGACTTTGGAGGTCAAAGTCGAAATGGTCGAAATTACGTCATATCACATGATTTTTTATATATAGAAAAAATAAAAAAAATAAAAGATGTACGATCTCGATCAATATCGCTCCGATTCATATGAAACAACTACCATTTGATTCCCCGTGACTAGACGAATCCAATGAGCTAACATTTATTGATTTTGGATTAGCTCATCTCGAGATATTCGCGATCGTATTTCGAAATCCAGACTCCTTTATTTAAAGTAGAATTTATTGATTTATAATTTCGGCCGATAATACAATTGCGATTATCTCGCGATTGGATGATCCAAAATCAATGAATGTTAGCTCATTGGATCCGCCAAGTCGCAAGGAATCGAATGGTAGTTGTTTCATACGAATCGGCGCGATATTGACCGAGATCGTACATTTTTTTGTTTATTGTTTTTTCTCAATATGAAAAATCATGTGATATGACGTCATTTTTACTATTTCACGACTTTAGCCTTCAATAGTTGAAATGATTTCGACCAAAACTCTCTCTCTTTCTCGTTGGATTTTATCCAAGAATTTTTACTTTAAAAAAAGTGACTGTTCAAAGGCGGCTGCAGCTTAGCCTGCGAACAAAATAAAAAACCCCTCTTTTCAAAAATTTTCCTCTTTTTATTTCCCTAACCCCTATCCACATAAAAATTGCCGTTGAAGTCTAAACCGTATTGTTTTTGTTAAAATATTTTTCCTTCACCTCTCTTTGATATATTTTTTCTCGTTTTTTCGCTTTCAAAATAATTGCCTACAAAAGTAAGCATCAAGGGGTATCCCAACTGATGATCACAATCAACATACTTTGGATACACAAATTTGCGTGATGACATCCCTATTCCTTCATAAATGGTAACACTCTTTTTTTGCAGATCATTGACGTTGAAGACTGCGAAATCCCACGCAGTATTTTTTGGACTTGACCGACTGTGTGATTTGGGCCACATCCTGTGCTGGTGGTCGGCTATAATCTGAATTGACAGACATCTTAGCATTGGAAGCGATAGTCCTAAGAGCCTCTATTGAAATTTAGTGATATGAGCGCACCTGTGCCAGGTGGTCACTATAATCTGGAATTAACTGGACAACTTAACTAGAAACTTAGTAGAGTCCCCTTATGTTGCTTCTTTTTGTAAATTCTTTAGTGTATATAGTCAGGTTTCATAGTTACTTCTTCAGAAAATATGTTACCATTAGTTGAAGGGTTACATTTTTATTTTTATTTTTTGGAAATTTACTTTATAAAGGAGATAACGAAGTAGTATTGACCATGGTTTATTTCCATTCTCTGTTGAAAATAGTAGTCATTATACATGCGTGTAGTGGGTCTGTTGAAGGGGATGGCGATGTTCGATCGACACAAACGGATTTGCAATATAGTTACAGGGGTAGTTAGTCATTTGTTTGTTAGTTTTTGATTTACTATTATTATATTTTTGTATAAATTAATAAAATGTACTGACAATACCGCATTGTTAAAACATAAAAAAAAAATGATTTTGACCATTTTGACCATTTCGGATATCCGAAATGATCCATTTCGACTTCATGTATAATTTGAATACTTGATTTGAATTTAATCAAATCAAATCAAATCAAATATAAATTTGAATTTGTATTTGATTTGATTTTCAAATTGAATATTCAAATATCAAATTGAATTGCAAAATCCTAATAAATACATTAGTATTTTAATATATATTTTTTTTTAAAACAAGCTATTTTTAATTATATAAATAATATTTTATAATAAAATAAAATTTACATTATTTTTTTTTTTTTTAAATTAAATTAAAAATTAACTATTATTCTTATAAAATTTATTAAATTACAAAAATTAAAATTATTAATAATTTTTTTTTAAAAAATTAAAAGTTAATTTTAAGATTTAAGTATTTTTAATTGATAAATTATAAGTTTATATTTTATTAATTAAAAATTATGTAATAATTAAAATTTAATACTTTTTAAATTAAATAATTTTTAAAAGAATTTATATATACATTTATGCTATTATTTTTTTTTTTATTTATTAAAAAAGGTAAATGTTTAATAAATAAATGCAAATTTTTTGATAATTTTTCAAATTAATAATTTAATGTTATTGAAATAAATTTTTTAATTATTAATATATATTATTTCTATTTTGAATCATTATGATTTGATATTTCCTGTAAAATATCTAAAAAAAAAAAAAAAATAATTATTAATAAAAATTTAATATATTTAATATGTAAAAATAAAAAGAGAGAAATTTATTAATAAAAAAAACTTACTATGCCAGTAATTACTTTGTAAATTATTTATTAACTGATCAGCAGTTTGATCATCCATTTCCGTATTAGCATCAATTGAATTCCAACTTTCTCTTAATAAATTTTCTTCTTCGATACTTATATTAAAGTAGATTAAAATCTATAATTAATGTAAAGCTTTTCGTCAAAAAATGAAATTTCAAACTACTTACATATCACTTGATATTCTTGAAGAGTATTCTCCGGAAACATATCCAAGTGAAGTTCTCAACGCAAAATATTCTGAAATATGATTATCAGAATTAATGGAATTGGGTGATCCAGGTGAATTGGAAGAACCGGGCGATCCGGCTATTTGAGATGATATTGGTGTACCAATGGAAGATATTGGACTTGAAGTTTCTCTCATGTTATATAATTGTGAATTAATATTTAAACTTGTGTCAATTCTTAGATTTTGTGCATCCGAATCATTAACCATAATACGTGGAACTAAATTAAAAATAAATAAATAAATTTAAATACGATATCAACTTTAATTTGAAAAAATAACATAATATCTTAGTTTACCATCAATGCTTCCAACCATCTCACTCATTCTTTCTCTCCTTAATCGTTCCTCTTTAATGGCTTTGAATTTTTTATGCCAATAAATTGTACGTAATAATGATTTTACACGATCCTTATTTACGTTATCAATAACTTTTTCTAACTTTTCTTTACGTTTTATATACTCATGAATCCTATATAGTAAGAATAATATGGTAAATAATAACTTAAAAGATTCGTATGTTCGAAATTATATCATATTTAACTTACTCTAAGCATTTATCATCATTCATTAACTTATAATGAGCAAGCATTATAAGCATGTTTGTGAATGAAATTCCCTTTTCATTCCCATTTGAATCTTTTTCAACTGATAATAATGCTTCCTAAATATAAATCATAAAAAAATCATTAATTACATTTTTAAAAATGAATTTTTTTTAAATTTTTTGCTTACTTGATATAATTGATTATAAGTTTTTCTTCGCTTATACACTTGATTCAGATTAATTTTTGATAAACTATTTTCCAACTTTTTGATATCAAGATTTTCAACTTCAAGATTATTTCTTTGCTTACTACTACCCCATAATTGCCCTAGTTCTAAATGTTTAATAATACGAGCGTTTTTTATAAGGTTTGGAATAAGAAATTCATCTTGATAAATTCGTACTTGAAATGATCCTTCAAGTTTCTATGCAAAAATAAAATAAAATAGTAATATTAAAACAATATAGCTTATAAACAAATTATATTAATATTTAATATTTACTGAAAAGAATTTTGAAATTTCATTGCTTTTTATATATCCGGTTCTATCAAAATCGACTGATCCCCAAGCTTCTTTAAATGTAAATAATTATATTTGTTAAGGAATAAATTTTAAACAAAACACAATAAAGCAAATAAATTGTATATATTGAGAAAAAGGATATTGTCTAATTTCATCGCGGTTAACTAATGAGAATTGTGCAGCAATTTGATAACAATATGAAAAATTATCTGTAACCACCACAATAAACATATTTGCGAAAATATACATTGATAATACATTCCAACTTATGAACAATATATATGCCCACATTTTACTTCCACAATCAGAATTATACAAGTTGTTACTTGCTACACATTCTGGCGGTTCAACTGTAAAATCATGCATAATCGCATTCCAGCCTTCTCTAAATTAATTACATTAGTAAAAAGAAAACCATTAAAGTATTAAAAGATGATGTAAAAAAGAGATATTCGTACCCAGTTGACATTCTAATCAATGTTATCATTGCGGTTGGGAATTGCCTAAAATTTACATGTTCACTACCATTTTTTCCATATTTTGTTAAACCAAATATTTCCATAAACATGATAGCATACACAACAAATATGATAGACCAAACTGCAAATAAATTGAAAATTGATGGTAAACTTCCACTAATAAAAAATTTAATAAAATACCACAATATATTTAGTATTTACGATAATTTAATCAATCAGTAACGTATATTTGGTTGATACTCACACCATATTTTTAAATAATTGATTCATTACATCACTTTTCTGAAATAGTTTTAAACAAATCAGCACTAAAAATATTTTTTGTAATTGAATCATTGCTTTATTTTCTTTCACTACCACCAAAATTGGGATTGTTGTTGCTGCAGCTCCAGTTACCACGAGAAAATCAAATAAATTCCATTTATTTTGAAACACTTTCCATCCTAAACCAATAGCCTTGATAGAAAATTCCATTATATATATAATAATAAGAATAACAAAAAGGATATCTATAAACATACTTATGCTGTTAATTAAATTATATAATAATAATGAAAAAAAATTGTATAAAAATTTAGCAAATACCTCTGATTTTATCCCAAGTTGGTGGAGCATTCTTTGCTTCAGTCATCAACAATAAGATATGCAGAATATAAATGACACTCATGGTTTTTGAAAGTATTCCTCGCTTTTCTGTAGCATAATCAAAACAAAGAGCTCTAAACTTATTACTGGGCCGTTTCTTTGGAACCTTTGAAGGAGTAATCTGTTTCAACAATTTCTTCAAATCAATCCATCGTTTCTGATCAGCGGTCAGATAAGCTGTACCGGATTTCGATTGATAATTAGAAATGATTACACTTATAAATAATGTCAAAATGAACACAGATCCCGCAAGATTAAAAATCATAAAAAACAGTGCATTCCACTTGGAATGATCTTGTTCCGAATTAAAATCTCGTCTCACAATATTCATAGATGTTACCATGACATCTATCCATCCTTCTCCTGAAATAATTTCAAATAATATAAGTAAAGCCGATTTAAAGTTATCAAAATTATATCCAAAAGGATTATCCCATACTCTTGGCATTAGCACAGGAAAGTTATAAATCTTATTCTCAAATTCATCTACACATTGACCTTTTACTATAATACCGTTGTCATTATCATTACAGGAAAAGAATAACCCAGCAAAAATATTAACCCCATAAATTGCAAAAGGTATAACAAAGCTTATAGACAGTAAAGATGCATCGATAATACGTGGAGCTCCCGCAATTAAAATAGAATAAAATGTATCTTTCACTGAACTAGAAAGATTAATCAATCGAAGTGCACGCAAAGCTTTAAATGCACGAACAGTTCTTGCAACACCTCCAGTACTTGTTGCCGCAATTGATATGTTAATGTATAATGTAATTAGCACAAAAAAATCTAATTGATTCCAAACATTAAGTAGATATGCATTTGGTGTTAAAAGAAATCCATCGGCAATTATTTTAATAAAGAATTCTAAAGTAAAGATACCGGTAAATACAACATCAGTAATCCAAAACCATGTATATCTTTTGTCCCCATTTTGGTTAAAATATTCCTTTTGATATGACGGATTTGCATATGCGGCAAGAATAACACTTGCAATAATACATAGATAGATAAATACACTGAATACAAAACTCCATGTTTGTGAGGGTGGTGTACCATAAACACGATCATCATGACTAGATTGAACAAGAAGTTGACAAAATCTTCGAAATCGATTACGAGGTGATAAAAACCAAAGTGATGCATCATAATTTGGATGAGCAGCCAAGAAATCAGCTTTAATAGCTTGACGTTCTTGAAAATCATCCAAAAATGCTTCCGTAGGTTTGTCAATAATAGGTTCACCAATGTCATTCGTTCCATGAATATCATCGAAATTTGAACCCCTTCTACTTCCAAGTAAAGATGTTTTATTAATCTCATCATTATAACCAAAATATCTTTTTAGACGAATTACAAAATTGGTTGAAGTTTTCTTATATTCATTCTCAATGAAATTCTTTTTTTCGGTAATATTATCACTATCTGTCAAGAAATCCCTTACTCGACTTTTTTGCGTATGCAAGATCAAATTAGATGGGATACTTTCAACAGCTAAAGCTTTTGGCTTAGCCTGGAAATATTTGTAAAAATTCCATCTATCAATAACATCATCTTTCTTTTCAGTTGAATCAACATTACGTTTAAATGTTTGTAGCTGTATTTTATGTTTTTGTTCTTCGGCAATCTCAAAATTCTCCTGCAAGACGGCGATGAACATAGTCAACAGAATAACTATGATATTTTTAAATAAAATTAAAATCGATATAAAATATACATATATAAATTAGGATTAGAATTAAGATAAAGACTTACAGTTCGATAAGCTTACATATATAATTAGGAATATAACAGCTATTATGGCAGTAGCATTACTTCCTTTTTCGGATTCAAACTGCATTGTATCATATAATACATTTGTCCAATCTTCGCCTGAAAATAACTGATACAAAAATGCAATAATAAAAAAATAGATACAAAAATAAGCAAAAAAAAAAAAAATTTCATGATAAATTTAGTATACTTGATTTAGAGCCAAAAAACTATTAAAAATATCACTAAATCTCATTGGTTTTTCGTTTGGAATAGACCCTCTTAACAATTGCACACCCTATAAATATTAAACTTTTGTTAAGCCAAAGAATTTATCAAATTAATATTTGTTTGGATTTGATACTTACAATTATGGCTGAAAGGAAATTAACGATGAAAATAAACAACACTAGATTTGCAAATCCTGCTACGCTACCTAAAACTCTGACCTGAAATAATTTTATAATTATTGGTAGAGAAATAAATATATGTTTTTAAAGTAATAAATAAATAAATAAATTTGGTAAATTTACCAATAAATTTCTTAATCTAGGAATCGCAATAATAACCCTGTAAACTCTTAGAATTTGAAATAGAGTTAAATAAGGATAAGCTTCAGTCTCTTTAATAAAAGGTAATTGTATCATACAGGTTACAATGGATAATGTAAAATCAACAATATTTTTTGTAGATTGGAAAAATAAGTGATATTTTGGCAAATATGAAAAAAGTCTCAAAACGATTTCAATTGCAAATACTATTGTAAAAATTAATTCGGCTCGATCTAAAAGATGAAGAAATTAAATATAATATATTTAAAGTAAAAAATGTAACGATATAATAATACCAATATAAAAATAAATTACCCAAAATAATTTCTTTTTGATGAGACATAATAGAAGTTCGAAATGCCATTATAAATAAATCAGCAAATATTAAAAAGGTCCAAAAATATTTAACATATTTGGTCTCGTCCATTCTACGAGTTAGCCAGGTTGTTGTAGTCTGTCTTATGTCTTGTAATGTCCAACCCTCCATATCATCAGATAAAACCGGTGTAGATCTTTAAATAAAAATAAAGTAATAAATTTTTAAAAAATCAAAATATCATTTACAAAGAATAAATAAATCTATAAATCTATTTATTACTTGGACAGCGTGAAAGCAGAATGTGATGAATCTTCTCGAATTTTTGCAAACATTTTCGTAATCACAGCCACAAATAAATTAATTAACCAAAAATTTAAAATGATTACAGTCATGATAAAAAATACGCTCACGAAGTCAAACTCTGAATCCATCACATTATACATAAGTTCTGTCCAATTTTGAACTAAGGAAGGAATAATAATTTTTTTTTTTGGTTAGAAAATCGTACTCATTTTAGATGATAAACATATTTAAGAAAAAATACTTACTTGTTGAAATAACAAAAACTAAGATCATGGAAAAAAATACATTATCAAAAGATGCCAATCCGCCATAAGGATTTCCGACTTCCATACAAATTTGACCAATAGGACAAATAAATCCTTTTCCGCCAGGATCATGTGAACTAGCTACTCTTTTAACTCCATCTTTGTCCATCCAGCCTCCGCAATACTGATCATGTTCAAAATTATTTGATGGATTATTTATATCTATCCACACACATCTCCTGGAAAGAGATCCTTTAAATGATTGTACTCCAATTATACTTAATAGTATAGAGAAAAATCCAATAAATGATGTCACATTAACCAACAACGGAACACTCTTTTTCAATGATTGCAGTATAGTAGCACTACCACTTGTAATAGCCAATAATCTCAAACTTCTTAAGGTTGAAATTGCTTTAAATAAGAAGAAATGTTTAACTCCCATTAAAGTAATCAGCAAATCAATCCAATAAGACATTACTGCAAATAAATCAATTCTGTTAAAAGTATGCCTGAGGAAGGCAGTATTCATTGCAGACTTGTGCGCTATTACTCTAGAAACATATTGATTTGAGGATTGTGAAAATTGTAAATCCATTGACGTTTCTCTCACATCAAACTTTGAAGCATTTGGTGATGTAAGCGGAGAAAATTTTGCTTTATTAAATGGTGTCGGCTCTTGATTTATTAGCAATCCTGATACTATAATACGTGCCACAATTTCCAACCTAGATAATAAATATCAAAATTGATACAAGTGAATAATATAAAAAAAACCCAAGATATTACCAATTATTCTTACGTGTATATTGTATAAATTACTAATAGAGCATAGTCAATTCCTGATGATCCCCATTTGGTTCTACGCGGCCTACTTTCTGTAACAGGGTCCCATGCATCGATAATTAATAGCAAAATATTTGCTATTATGAGACCTAAAATTATTGATTCCGCCCATCTAATAAGATATCAAAGGGGAAGAAGAAAAGTAAAAAACCTAACATTACGCAATGTATTTATTAGAATATAAGATTACCTTACCGATGATTTAAAATTTCATATAAAGTGAGTCTGATTGGATTTGACGGTCCGAACATGAATAAAGAATTCCCTTCCAATGGAGATTGTGACTGTAATGTCTGAGCCAACCGAAGGTTACTATCATTAGATTGTCCTAATGAAGAATTCCTTGATTTATCTTGAGAAGGATTATAATTATCATCGGGAAAAAGATTATTTTTCCAACTTTTACGAATTGTAGATCTGGGTTGAACAATAGGGTCCACTTCTTCTTTTTCAAGTTGATCTTGTGAAGCATTAGACATATTTACAACGCGAGTGGAAGCTCTTGCAAGTATATGACTCATTCTACTAAGACTTTTGGTATGTCTTAATTTGACTCGATTATTAGAATTCTTTCCGTACGATTCTTGATTTTCATTCGAAGATGATGACGCAATTGGCAAAGAAGTAGAAGAAGCAGCATTATCTAATAGTTGATCCACACGATTTTTTGTTAGTTTTGCCGTATCACTATCGTCGATATGATCAAATTCATCATCATCTTCTTCATGATATCTTAAGTCTAACTCACTAGTAAAACTTTCACGTCTTGGTACATCAGACATCTCAACCACATCATCATTGGGTAACATGTTGTTTCTTCTCCTATTCAAAAATGATGGCATCCGAATTGGTTGTGAAGTTATTGGATATTCATGAGCAAGTAAATCAACATCACGAAACAATTGATTTGATGGATCTATAAATGTTCTTGAAGTTACCAATGAAGGTCTTGTAGTAGGTGAGTTATAATTATGACCTAATGTACGACTTCGATTTAAATTAGTTTCTCGTCCGTTATTATTATTATATCGAATTAAATCATGTGAAGAAGATATTGACCTGGATCTTCTACGAATTCCAGGGACTGTTGTTGGTAAAGAAATTGGTGAAATTGTGTTTGAACGTCCACGAGAATTATTATTATTTGTATGAGGTAATGAGGATTGTGTGTTACTTGGTTCGTCAATTGAGGATAGAGAAACTAATGGGACATCAGTTTGGATGTCATTGCCTTCCATACGAAGAAATTGACAAAAATAAGCTTTATTTTTTTTTTTGAAAATAAATTTATTTGGTAATAATTAGAGAGTGTAAATGTGTCTGTTCAAAAAATCATCACTTAATTGTGCACGAATTTCAGGTTTAAACACTTCATTACTATTTATAGCAAAAAGCAATTTCCCATCCTAAAACGTGATCAAGTGAGCAAAATGCATATGATTGGTAATATCATTTAACCAATCAAATCTTATTATAAATAAGGTTGATTAAAAAAATTTCGAAATCCTCCTTTCTAAACATCCCTTTTAAAAATGGTAAAGTTAAATTATTTTCATTCCTTTCATCCATTATAATATTGGTAATGAAATTAAAGCAATGTTATCATTGACTTTTTAATGGATTAATAAAAGCATCAAAAAAATATGATCAAAGTTTTGTTACGATTAGCAAATAGTTGAATATAATCTTTATAGTTTCCTATCGACAACTAATTCATATTCATCGATACTATAGACAAAGGGTACCTCAAGTTTCGGTAAACGTCACACAAAAACCCACACTTTATGCCGCCGTTGTGGAAGGCGTGCTTTTCATAATCAAAAGAAAACGTGTGCTCAGTGTGGATATCCCTCCGCAAAGACGAGAAGCTGTTAGTATATTTTTTTTTAAAAAAAAATTATTTTTGTATTTTGCATCATAATTTAGATCAAATTCAAATAATCTTAAAAATTTTTTTTTAAAAAAAAAAACCAACAAAAACCAAAATGGCTCTTAGATAACTGGAGTGAAAAAGGCAAACGTAGAAAGACAACAGGTACCGGCAGAATGCGGTATTTAAAACATGTTTCGCGACGCTTTAAGAATGGTTTTCGTGAAAGTAAGTGGTTTTTCTCAAATGTAAATTGTTTAATATTTACCAAAATTTACAATAAAATTTTTCTATAAATTTTATAATTTAGACACTCAAGCTAAGAAAGCTATAAAATAAATTCTGTTATTTAACGAGATCGAAACTTATAATGTAATTGGGAATTCTAGTGATTATTACAATTAAAGTTATGATTAACTAAAATACGAACATTTGAATATTTATAATTTTTAAAGTTTATCAATTGCTCTTAAATATTTACATTATAAAGGAAGTTTATTTACCTTTCATTAAACATCACAATTGTTCTACAAAACTGGCAAGGATATAAATGGAGAATTTTGAAGATCCTTGCAAAATTCAAATATTAATGGAAAGGAATAAGATTTTTTTTTAGTTGATTGATCAATGAATTGCGCAGGATTTAAGAATGAATGCACACTCTAAGTATTGAATTCTCTTTATATAATCGTAAAGGAGGAATCATTAATGATGTCAGGTGATTCGTAACTAAGTATGCCAGAGAATTCTAGTATTTTTCCATATATGGTAATTTTAACGCAACTTAGAAGTTTTATTAAGATCTGCAGTTGTACCAATTAAATTAATACTTTACTTTTTATCCCATATAATATTTATTATAAAGTCATGTTCGAACAATTCAAGAAAATATCCTCAGCTTTAAACTTTAAGGATCTTATTGATACAACCGGGTAGGTGCTTATTTTCAAATAATAATGTTTTGGACGAAACTGTTTTATCAGAGAAACTTCTCATCCTTAAAACCTATACATTTTACCGAGACTTCCGAATTTCGGTTTCGCCCAAAACATTTATTCTTTTTATTTCTTAAATTCGCAGCCTTAATGAAGTAGAATTCAAAAATTTTACCAGAGGAGGGTATATCTTAAAAAAAAATTATTGATCCTCGCACTCTATGCATAAGATTGAATTTAATTATAGGGCCTTATTAAATTTTAATTAAAAGACTTCAGGTTGTTCGTAGCGAATGGGAAAATATACGTACAAAATCAGCCGAGATTCTTTCTCCAGCATTGAGTCCGCGAATAGGCGCTTTATCACCAAGGCTACCTTCGATCGGAAGTACAAGGTTTTACGATTTAAATTTTTACTTGGTTACTTCAAATTTCGATTCTTTTTTTCCACCCACCGGTATTTATTGCTTGATATCATTTTATAGCAAGTCACGTGCCATATCAAGACTAGATATACCGGCAACTATTGAACTTGCATCAAGGTAATTTTATATTATGAATTCCTGCATTATGTATACAAGTTTAATGATTTTATTCAATGATTTAGATACGAGAATGAGTTGAATGTAATAAAAACTGTAAATGAAAATAATTTTCGTAATTCTGTTGTAAGTCAAGTTATTTAACTTATTGCTCATTATTTTTATGTTTTGTATTAATTATCTTTTGAATGATTTTGCTTTAGTTAATTGATGAACTTGTGCAGCACATGTTGAACAAATGTGAGAATCATTATCAAACATGCGAGCTAGTCAAATCAGAAACGAGCCAATTACCTAAGGTAAAAGAGATGATTGATGAAATGACCTATTCTGCAAGTAAGATACTATCTTTCACTCACTCTTTTTAAATGAGAAAGTCTTAATGACCAATTTTTTTTATTAATTTAAAAAAAAAAGTTTCATTAAAAGGAAAACTGACAGAATTGGAGAAAATGATAGATAATTATGCAAAAAGTAACGAAGAGAAAGTTTTTGAAGATTGGAAAAAATCTGAACTTCTTGCACTTAATAAACACTTTGAAGAAAAAAAGTAATTAGTCATGTAAATTTAATATAAGAAAATTTTTTTAAATATTTTATTCATCAAAAAATTCTTATTTAGTGCAGAATTAGAAGAAAAGAATATTATGTATCAACAACATTATGAGGAATTTAAAAATAATCATAAAATTGAAAAAGTACAATCATATCAGGCTGATTTTGAGATACAAATGGAAAATTATAGGAAGCGGGTAATAACTACTACTGTTTTATATAATGGTATGTTTTGTTTCACAATTTACTTTAGTAAGTTTTTCAAAAATTTATTAATTAATATATTCTTTTTTTTTGTTATTCCTTAGAACATTCGACAAATATAACAGATGAAGATTTGATAGCCAGTTTAGAACAAGTTGAATTGGAAACTGAAGATGATCGAGAGGCGTTAGAAAACTTTCTTGGATCTAACAGTGACACTGAAGAAAATATTGAACAATAACAAATAAAAGATAAACCACATTAAGTATAAATCGGAATGATGATCCATTTCTTAGAACTTTGCTTCAGGAACCAAACTTTTTACCTGACGAGTAAAACCTTAATCCAATTTGATTTATTATTAATTTATATGAATCAACTTTAATTTACATCACAAGGAAATTCTTCCTTTATTATCACATGCTTTGTGAAATGTAGAAATTTTCAAGGTACGGGTTAATTTTATATTTCTTTTTCTTATATTTATAAAATCAAAAGGATTTTATATTTTTGGTTTTTGACTGATGTCCGCGTGACGGAGTAACGGATGTCTGAATTTTTACTTCAGGATGAAATTTTTTTTTTTGATAGTTTGTGAAACAGCATGTTAAAATTCGGTAATTTTTCCTTTATTCAATCAAATTATTACCAACGGATTTATTATGTTATAGTATAGCAGCTATCTATTTTTTTTTTAAAAAAAAAGATAAAAAATAAATATTTTCAAGAATCATAGTTTTATCAATGTGGTTTCAGCAAAATATTTGGGAACACTGGAATTAGAAGTGGTGGATTTGATTTATACCTAATAATAATAAATATTTATCTGGAAAATGTAATTACAGTATAAATAATTGATCAAAAACCATATTAGGATTTTTGATCGTCATCTAACTAATTTGTGATTTGACATAGTAAAATCATATGATGCATCAATGTGGTGTAACGTTTGATTTTGATCGATTATAAAATTCCAAAACCAAAAAAAAACAGTCTTTTATATTTTCACCTTGGATAAGTTTAGATTCGTATAAAAGATCAAGTATAAACTTAAGCAAGAATTTATAAAATCCATTAAATATGGAACAAATAAAACTAACAACTATTTCAGCAAGACATTCAGAAGAAGAAGATTCGGATGAGGAGTCCGCATCGCTTCCACCTTCCTTGTCAACACTAACCGTAAGTGAGAATTCCGAGACGATAGACGACAAAGAATGGCTTCTTAAAAATAAGCATATTTCTGCTAAAGGTTTTTCTCGAAGAAGTGGAGAACATGCAGAGGAGGATTTATGTCAAGCCTCTGGAAGTCGAAGAGGGAATTTAAAATATGATAATTCGGAAAATATAACAAAAATGTGGGCGATGGCTTGTGCCTGTACGTTTGGTGTCGGAAGTCACTTTGCTTCACATATTATTGGACCTATGAAGGGGATATTAATGGAGGTATTGTATCTACTGTACGTACAAACCTAATTTTTAAATTTTTATCTAGACACAAAATCTAATAATGGTTATTTTACTGGCTCGTTATTTATTGAAAAAGCAACTTGATCTCACGAACACTCAATTTTCACTATTGATCGCATCAATTACTCTATGTAATACGGTAATACCAATTGTTTCAGGTCTGCTAGTAGCAAAATTTGGAACTACTCGTAGTTCTTTGGTTATAACATCAATAATATTATTGGGTATGATGATTTTCACTGCCGCAAGTTGGGATGGTAAAGTTGGATTTATGATTGTTGGATTTATCGTTTTCGGGTAAGAAATGGTTCTATTATGCCTATATTAAAAGAGTTTCCTCAAAATTAAATATATTATTATATCTAGCATGGGTTTGGCACCTTTAACAATCGTCCAAGAAACAATTATTGTCCAATTCTTTCATGGAAATGGATTGGGATTTGCCTTAGCAGTCGGATTAACATTAGGAAGATTAGTAAGTCTTGCAATTATTTGATGCCCCGTGAGTACAGGCTTAGGGAATAATTAATTCATCACACCTTACATCCCATTTTTAATATTATTAATTTATCTATATCAAAAGTAAGGGTAATATATTTGCATACTGTATTTTTATACCATTCATTTGTTTATAGGCCTCATTTGTTGCTACCGTGCTAGCTGTTCCATTATCCTTAATGGAGCCGTTTACATATCGTACACCTTTCATAGTGGCTACTATAACATGTGCAATGTCATGGATTATGAATATTGTATACGTGTTTTTATTAAATCACGCTGACAATAAGAAAAATCATAGGAAGGAAGGCATTGCAATGCATTCGGTGGTGGAAAAAAAGACTGTTCATTGGAATGCTATATTTGATTTGTCGGATATTTTTTGGTTTTTTTTGATTGTGGGAATTCTATTTGGAGCTGCAATGCCTCCTTTCCTTCATCTATCAAGGTTAGTTTTTATTAATATTATTTATTTATTTATTTATATCTTTAAAAAATAACCCCCTCTAATATAAATAAATATATATTATATTTTTTTGAGTGCAGTAACATCATTAAACATCGATTTGACACAACGGATATGCTTGCCGCGTGGGATTCTTCTATAATATTATTACTACCCGTAATATTATATCCCTTTTTGGGATTGTTCTTGGATAAATATGGTTTTAGGTTGTGGATATGTAAGATCGTGATTGTTAATATTATTTATATTTTATATTTTTTTCTATTCATTAATTTTTTTTTTATGATCTTATAGTAATATTTGGATCGGCAGGCATATCCATCACCTATTTATTATTACTTTTACCGCCACATATGATACATCCATTTCCACCTTTATTCCTTTTCGCTGTGGCTTTCACAGCAGTTCCACTTACTATGGTTACCCTCATTCCATTGCTCACAAAACATGTTTCCACTGGTCTCGGGCTTCTTAAAAGTGTGGATAATATTGGTGCGACTCTTTGTCAAACTTTTGCTGGATTATTGTTAGATGAGCATGTAAGACGTAAAAAATACATAATTGATGATAAAGGTATAGAGTACGGTCATGAGAATGATGATCTGGTGGCTTTAAGGATGTTTGCCATATTAGGTAGTATTTTGTTTTTGGTCTCTTTAATATTTTGGTGGATGGATAAAACGTATAAAAGAGGAATTTTAAATACTAAATATGAAGGTGATTATAATCATGATCATGATAATACGAATTCTAATAATTATGGACAACTAAGAAATGAAGAAGATGATGAGGTTATTGGCATGGAAATGATTTGTATGGAAGATGAAACACCCTTTGTTAAAGTTGAATATAACGAGAAAAGGAAAAGAACTATTGTTTATATGTGTATTTTATGTCTGATATTGATCATATGTTGGACTGTTTTTGGAGTCGTCGCATTCGAAAAAGCTGGAAAAAGTGCATTATCGGAATAATAATACTAGACATTTTAATTTTTTTTTTTTTTTTTTTTTTTGTTTTAATTTATATTTTTGAATTCTTAAGATTCAGATAATTTATGTATTATAAAAAACAAAAAAAAAATTTTTTTATTTATTAGACTTATTAGTAATTACATTCTTATAATTATACGAAATACACATAATTATTATACTTATTCTAGGAAGATTTGTGAAAAGGTTTCATGATTCCAATGGGTTAGCTAATTCCATTTCAATCTGATTCGACAGTTGATTCGATTTGGTTTTAGGAATTGAAGTAACTGGCTGATATCGCAGCAGTGGGATCTACATTAACCTTAGTCAATGACAACTTATGAAGGGGAGAAATAAATGTTTAATTATATCCTTTTATATAATTTTTAATACTCGAGAAATTTTGCAGTGTTATAGTAAAAAATAAATAATTTCGATCGAACGGTTTCTTGAATGACATCGATATTTTTCCTGAAAAATTAATTCCAATAAGGAATCCATAATTACAGTTCTCTATATCATATAATCATATTCCGAAGTTAATTAGTCCGGAGTGTAACGAAGGACTATATAATTCTATGACCGATGTCCCGTTGTCCGTCCGCTCAAAAATTGAGTCGATACATGATTGGTCTTTTTCGTTACACATATGCTCCGGACTTAACAACGGTTTTCGAAACCGTTCCCTAGTAATATCCAATAGTTCCGGAGGCAATCATTTATATCGACAATTGTGAATTTCATGTGACAGGTTACGCCGATTAAACTTTCAACGGTACTTGATGAATTTTGCTGATCTTATTTACGTGTTTTTTTTTTTTTTTTTTTTTTTTTTTTTTTTTTTTTTTTAAAAAAAAAGATGTGGTACTGTCAGTACTTTATTGATAAAATTGTATAAAAATAACTAATTTAAAATAAAAAAGTAAATACAAATAATAAAGATTAACTATTCCCTGTATTTCTATTTCAAATCCATTTGGATTGACTAATCACCAAAATTATCCTTCAAAAAGAAAAAACTAATGAAGAATATCTAATAATGAAAAATTTAAATGAAAACCTATCAGCATCACTCTAAAAAATATATCCAGTAGAGATATTAACAAATATTGAAATTACGAGTCTAATCGCTTATCTATAATAAGTAATTCTTGATAAATAATTGTAATAATAAATTTTATAAATAACTTATAAAAGAAATATGAACATTGGAATTGACAATTAACATAGGATTACCAAGGTAGGACTCAGTCCTTAGGATCAGGTCCTAAGTTTCAAAAATTAAGATTCTGGGTTCCCGCATAAGTTTAATATATATTTTTAATAAATATTCAATTATCAAATTATCATTAAAAAGTAAAATATAACACCAGTAAAATAAAAATCTTCTCTAAAACTGGCAAATTTATTGGAACTTTTAGGATCGTTTAGGACTGTTTCACATTCCTAATATCTAGGAATTACCAAATTTGAGAGCTAAGATAATCAATCCACTTTATCCAATTTAAAGATGGCTCCACAACTTATAAGTTGCGGATTAAGTTTCGGATTTTAGGTTGCAACTATTATGAATTTTAAAAAAAAAATTCTGCAATATCCACAAATTCACAATATCTGCAAATTTACAATTAATCCGCAAGTCTACAATTAATTTATTAATATAAAATTAATTTGCTATACATGTCACAATAATTATTAAATACATAAATATATATAATTTATAATTTTGACAAAGATATTAATCAAATTTTATTAGATTAAATAAAAATAAAAAAAAATATTTATAAATATAAAGGTTCAGCCTACATAAAAAAGAATCATTAATAAATGTTTCTTGTAATTAGCAAAGAAATCATTACTTTATTTAATTATCTTCCAAGGAACCATTTCAAAAGTTCAATCTACAAAATAAAAAAAAACATTAATAAAAATAATCCTTTCAATTAGCAATGAATCCATTTTAATTCAGATATATGATTAAGATTTTATTTGGATAACAATGACATATTAAATTAATAATATAATTATTAAATCATTTCAGATTGAATAATCTTAAATTCAAAAAAACGTAAGTTAATGTTAGTTTATTTTTTGAAAAAAAATTTTAATTAGTAAGAATTTTCTTTTTTATTTTTATTAAAAAAAATCTCACACCTTCATAGGAATTTACCTTCAATTTCAAAGCTTGAGGAACTCCAGAATCCTAATAGCGAAGCTTCTGGAAATCTTGGAATTCTACCTACAAAATAAACAAAGGTAAGTATATTTGTTTTTATTTTAATTTAAAAGAAAAATAATTAAAATTAAAATAAAAAAAACTTACCTCTTTTTGTAGATGATGAAGCCTTCTGGAATTCTGATATTAAAGTCTCTGGAATTCTAGAATTGAAAGAAGGTAAGTTTTTATTTTTCTTTTAATTTAAAAAAATAATTAAATTTAAAATTTTGTTTACCTCTGATTTCAAGGCTTGAAGAACTCCGGGATCTTACAAAAAGGTAAGTGTTAGTATTTTTTTTGTTTTTTTTTTTAAAAAAAATTTCTCACACCCTCCCCTTTCTCTATAGAAACTTGCCTCCAGTTCCAAAGTTTGAAGAACTCTGGGATTCCTACAAAAAGATAAGTATTAGTTTATTTTATATGTTTCATTTTTTAAAAACTATTTTAACGCACCATAGGAAATTACCTCAAATTCTAATGCTTGAAGAATCTGGGATCCTAAAAAAGGTAAGTATTAGTTAGTTTCTTTTTATTTTTTATTATTTTTTTTTTTAAAAAAGTTTCTCATACCCTCCCCTTCTCCATAAAATGTACTTCTGATTCCAAGGCTTGAATAACTCTGAAACCTACAGAAAAGTAAGTTCTTTTTCTTTTTTTCTTTTTTTTAAAAAAAAAAATCACATTAATAATTAAGAAATATGTTGTACAATAATAATCTATATGAAATTTTATGATCAGTAACATATAAAAAACAATGTGGGAATTTTTTTTTTTAATTATAACTTACCTTTTTTATAGAAGCTAAACTTAATTACATTTAAAAAAAAAGAAAAAGTGTGGAATTTTCTATCATTATTATCATTTTATCATTATATCATCTATCAAAATTATCATCATAGATTATTTTCATTATTTTATTCACAAAATAAACAATTATTTATATTAATATAAAAATGTCTTTTTTTTATTGAAATTTTTAAATAATGATAAAATGGAAACTATCACAAAATTAATGCTTTTTTATCTAAAACAAGTGCCTGATAAACTTATTAAAAGAATTGAAAATCAAACTCCAGATCCTTGTCCTATATGCAACAAAGAAATTTTTTCAAATAATATACTTATGTCATGTTCAATTTTAATCTGCGGTCATGTGTTTCACTGGGATTGTCTTGCTATATGCGCAACTGCTAATTGTCCTATTTGTGATAAAGTTCTTGAACAGAATATAATTAAACAAAATGAAAGAATTAGATATTC